GTCACCTGGGCCTGCGCTCCGCGGTTCAGCCCCTCTTCTTCCTCCTCCTCCTCTTCCTCCATCCCGGGCTCGGGCTCGAGCTCCGCACGCCGCGCTCCGGACAGGCTGGAGCCGGCTCCTGCAGGGCGGGCCCGGCAGGGACAAGGAGCCGGGCACTCGCCGCAGCTCCTCCCCCGCAGCGCGGCAGCCCGCCCCCGGGGCCTGGGCCTGGCTGGCAGCGCTGCGGCAGAGCCCGCCTGGGCAGAGACACCTGCGGGGGTCATGGCCTTTGCCGGGGCCGTGTGCGCCCTCCAGTGCCAGCTGTGTCCCGGCCAGGGGCCTGGCCCAGCCCCCCCGACCCTGCGTGCCTCGGCCGGGCTCCTGCCCCCTGCCCGGCCTTCCCGCAGCCCTTGGGAGCCCAACGTGAGTGCAAAGCAGCCGGGGCCTGCACACAGGTCCTGCCCCGTGCCAAGGGCTCCTGGGCGCTACCCGGTACCAGCCATACACAGCAGCCGTGACTGCCTAGCCCGCAAACCCTGCGTGCCAAGCTCGGGCCTGAGTGTGCCTCCATCAGATCAGCGCGAACACGCGTGGGGCTCAGCGCTGGGGTGTCTCATGGCACCGTGGGCACTGCACACAGAGACCCGTCTGAACAGGGTACTGCCTGTGGCACACAGGGCTGCAAACGCTAAGGGACAGCTGAAGGCAGTGCTGCTCCCTCACTGCTTAATGTTCCTGGGAAACTCTCCCACACACTGGTCCTAGAAGACAGGAAAAAAAGATCTGAATGGGAGAGGGTGATTATGGGCCCTTCAAAGTTCTCCCCTTCACCCTCCCTCTCACGCACACATTTTGCCCTGGCTTTTCAGGGGTGTCCCAAGCGTTGTCTCCCGCCATTAGACAGTGATCATAGTAAGCACCTGCACTGACAGAGCAGCCCTTTTAAAATGAAGGAAGAAAACACCTACTTGATAAACCTTGTATATATTTTTAAAAATATATCCTCCCGTTCGCAGAGGGGTGGGGGAAATCAGGTCTGTCTCTGCAACTGAGGGAGAGCGGTAGGATGAGTGAAGATGTATAGGTAGGGGTCTGTGTAGCTTTTACAATTCAAGTCTTCAGGCTGTGAGCAAGTAGTTATTCTGCATAATGGGGAAGGTGTCTTGATACACAACACCTTTACTTTGCAAGACAAATATTAGATCTGTACAGTGCAACATGAGCTATAGTGATACACAATACCTTTACGCCAGCAAATCTTTGGTTGCCTGTAGGAAAAAAATCAGAGGCATAATTTTTCCAGGGTTAGACAGTTGCTAGTATTTGAAAGGTGTAAATTTCAAATATGTTGGTAGTTGCCAGGATGAACTTCAGGAAGAAACAGCCAACTTCTTTGGTTAATCTTTCAAGAGCTGTTAACACATTTTATAGTGCTGAATTGTTAAAACACATGGTAGTTTTCAAGTGCCCTTTGTTTCTTTGAGAAGTGAGATCTGGCCACCCACTTCTGCAAGGCTGGAGCCTTGTCTGCATTTTAGGAATTTGGCATGTTAACCTCGTGGTTACGTGACAGTGATAAAAATGCCTGTTTTCTGTCTGCACAAGTGCTTCACCATTGCTCCCACCAGTGAAGCTGTACTGGTGCTGGTGGAATGGTGGGAGATCTCCTAAATAACGCTAAGGAAGACACAGCCTTACTTTGATTGTTTGTCCCTGGTTTGGAGGCCAAAGACCAGAACATAATGGAGCACTGTTGCTTTCAAACTAAAGTACCAACTTTAATCTGCTCTCCATACATGGGAGATTTGATTACTTAGTTCCCCCATATATATTATTCGAAAATTCTTGTTCCTTCAAATATCTTCAAATCAAATTCCAATTTTGAAAAGCCGGAGGTACTGTAATCTCTGTGGGAAACTTCTGTACAGCTGTCATAACGAGTATTGCCTTAATTCATGATTACGTTGTTGCTGCAGAGCAAAGTCATACACTCTCAGAAAGGGATAATGGGCTAGATATTAATCTCAGTTACATCAGTGTAAATCCATTGTAACTCCATTGACTTCAGAGTACTTACACTAGTATACATCCAAAATAACAAGAGATCAGAATCTGTCTCTCTGTGAACCTTTCTTACTTTCCCCATCAGTTTTCCCTTTACCCTTCGTTTGTGGTATATGAGTAGGTGAAAATAACCTGTTCCCATGCCTGATAAAGAGGGGGTTCTCAAATCACAAATTCAGATAATCTTGGAGACTGAGCATCTCCATGTCTCAGAGCCTTCCTTTCAAAATCAGCAACTTACTGTTATCACACATTAGGATTCTCCCTCACTTTCCCAATCTCAGTGTAGAATTTCCCTCTTCTCCCTCCTCCACAGGTCCTGCATCACAGGCTTTTTCCTAGTCTGAGGAAACTTTTGGGGATCTCCCTTCAGAACCCATCAAAACAGCTCCCAGTGTAGCCAGAAAGTTGGCTGCAGCATGATATGAAGCGTTACTTCCCCGAGTACTGAATATGCTGTCTGTGCACTGTTCTTGTCCCCGGCCAATGCAGGGACATGGCAGTCAGAGCTAACCCTTGGCCAGTCCTTGCTTTAATTTGTTTTGGGTAGTCTGTTATGATCTCATCAATTAATTCATTATTTCTTTAAAATACCTTGATACTTGCAGAAGTTGCTATACAAATCAGCAAATAGTAAAATACAAAATTGTACCAGTCTCTGCAGTTTGTTCATTCTTCGTTGGTATGTTTCCTGTCTGTCTTTTTCTGATGAAAGAGTCTCTTGTACTTTGGGAAGAGTTCTAGAGGATTATTTAAATCTCCAATGCAGGAATGTGTGTATTTAGTCATCCATTAGATTGCGTTACAGACACTTGACTTGGCAGGTGTTTTGCCAACTGAATGTACTTCTCAAAAAGGGGTTGCGGGATCATAGATGAGGGCTTAGTTGGTTGGTTGGTTGGTTTTATTGAAAACACATGATATGTATGCTAGGGAAAAGCCTGATATTCACTTAGGTAGTTTCATCCTTATGCGTATCTGCCAGATTTCTTTAGACTTGACTTCCTTATACAATTTGGGGGGTTAGAGGACCTGTCTGGGTCAAGCAACGTTACGCTGAGGTTTGCACTGCATCCTTTTCTGCCAACGAGCATGTTCTGGGGTTTTATTGCAGGATTCAGAACTTTTTAGAGGTTTGTTAATTCTACAAGTTTGAGCATGACACTGCTACTGTATTTAGCAAGAGGAGATACATCTTCTGTTTTGGATTACTGTAAGCACCTGTGGTCAGGAACGGTTTCATACAGTACTGAGAATGCTGTCAGTGCTTTACAAATAATAATGATAATCACCTACTATGCAATTTAACAAATGGTGGAACTGGGGAGAGTCTAGCTCCTAATCCAAATGTTAACTTTTCCATTGACAGCCTGCCACACACACAGAGTTTGAGCTTGGGGCAACATCTCTGGCATTGCACTGTTGCCTCTTTTAAATAAAGCGTGTTTCTACTTTGAAAAGTGATTCAGGAAAAATAATACAGTGGGGTTCCATAATTAATGCTTTACTTGATGTCACTACTAAATGTGCTCAGATTAGACGTAAACCAATGTTTTGACAGCCATGCAGACTCAATCTGGGATCTGAAAGTCAAGCTGGGTTATTTCCTTCCCTCAAATTAATACCAGTAATGAAAGTTCTGCAGGTCAGTTTAGGCCCTCGGTGATATCTATGCAACTCCACTGTAATGAAATTATGCCTCAGTGACATCTGCACTACCTAATTGTTGTCTTTGGGTTTGCCCAGGACAGGTATAATTGATAGGTAGGGGTCCATCATTTCATCCACAGAAAGAAATAGAATCCTGCTCAGTCTCTTATAGCTGTATCGGTGTGACAGACTAAATGGGATTAAAAACTAGTAAAAGCTTTGTTTTGTCACTAACATGGCATACATGACTTTAAATACACAAAAAAGCATATTTGATTAATAAGGCGGCGCTGTTCTCACACACACACTTTTCAGAGTAGCACTGCATTTTAAAGTACTTTCTAAATTACATCAACATTTGAAATCTGATGTTGCAAATAATCTTAGCATGGGGGGCGGGGGGTGGTGGCAGGCTCTCATGGGGAAGGGCAAGTATATCATGTAAAAATATCTATATTTAGTTAATTTTGGTGGTTACATACAACAGGGTAATTTTGTGCAAACTTCCTCCAGAAAACGTGTCAGTACATATCTCACTCCTGGCTCTCTTTTGAGCAGTGTCAAAGAGCATGGTGATTTTTGCTTTATGCAAAAATGTCAACCAAGGAATCAGCTGAAACCAAATATATCTACTTAACTCTTGACCTACCGGTCTGTTAGTAGTAAAAGGGGGGGGGGGGCTTAGATCTGAAATTGAATGGATTTGGGGAAGGGTCCCACTTTGCCACACATCCTGAGTACACCATCATTTTTCTATTTTGAGTTTTAAAGCATAGCTGAGTTATGGTTAAAAATTAAAAGTCTGTGTAGCAGTGAAAAAATAAGAGCTGCTCAAGCTAAATTCTAACAGCAGAAAAGGTTTTATTATTTCACCTCGAGGAACTCTGCACTTTAATGTGCACTTCCTTCACGTGACCTTTCATCCTTTTCTTTGGCTTATTTTTCACTAGGTTGTGAGTTTTACACTCTGCTTTCTGACGGCACTGGTTACACACCATTAAATTAGGGCACAGTAACCGGGAGGCATGAGCCAGTGGGTCTGGCTGAAATAGCAATTGTTTATTACTCCAGAAATGGTTGTATTTTCCCATCTGGGTACCAGAAGACAGTAAGGCAGTAGTAGCAACAACAGTGGCAGAGTTGCTTCTCTCCAGTAAGTGAGAGTCCCAAGCATTTGAAGTTACAACCAACAGTAATAGCTGAATGGCTACTTCATATAATATCTGATCTTTATATATAATGATGGTATTTAGCATCTTTCATCCTGAAGGATCCCAAAGCTCTTTTAACTACTGTGCAAACTATATAGGGATCATGTAATTACCCACTGAAGTACTGGGATGTAGCATAAAGTAACAGTTTTGGATATAAGCTGAAGAATCTC